CTATAACTTTTATATTTTGGGAGATAGAACATTAATTAAAAAATAAGAATATAGATTTTGAATTAAGTTTTATTACTTACTGGAAAAATTTTTATAAGCTGTCAAATGTATCTAATATCTTTCCATAAACGGAAGTATGAAGATGCTCTATTGGATGTGCCCAATTTTTGTCACCCACTTTTATCGTTAATTCTGCCTTAAATTTTCAGTTATAAATGGATGACAAGAACTGGACGTCTGTGACGGTATTTAGGCCATTAGACATGAAAGCCATATATTATATATATATACAGGGTGCTACAAATTCGAGGTACGAGCATTGGTATCTCGTTAACCGTAATAGATACAAACATGGTTCGTATTCTTGGTGAAATTGGGGCAAAATTGCGCTCTGGGATGTTCATCAAGATGCCATCAAAAAAGTTTTAAAAATTTCAAGAATTGCTGAGTTTTTTGGAAAAAACTGATTTTTTTGAAAATAAATGTTATTTTTTCCTGTCGTTACTTTTTAGAAAATCAAAAATCTAATTGCACGTTGTCATGGCCACTTTATTAGGGCTATGTGACAGTATTTTTATATTTTCAAATTAGTTGATAATTTTTGAGATACAGAGGCGAACTTAATTTTTTTTAAATACGGACCTGCATTTTTATTTTAGATTTTAAAAGAACTCGGTCTCCTGAGTACAATGATATACCACACTTAATTTTTTTTGTTTTGACATTTAAACACAATTTATTTAAACTAATTTCAAGTCCGGCTCTGTTTTTTTTTAAATATTTAATCTTTTCATCGTTACAATATTGATAAGCTTTCAAACTTAAGAATGACGTGGGGTAAAACATTGAATACGGAAAATCAAATGGAATAAAATAATATAAAATAATTAATATGAATACATATAATATAATATAAACAATCAAATCATTTTCCCGGAAGATGGATTGGAAATGGTAGAGCAGTATAATGTCCAGCGAGGTTCCTGGACCTATCGCCAGGGGGCTACATTATTTGACATCATTTGTAAAAAAGTTAAATTAATTCATCTCAACATTTACAATAAAGAGTACAAAATACGTTGGGAAGTATAAGAAAAAAATTCAAAGAGCTATAAATAAAATTAAGCGAAAAATAAATTTGTGCAACAGGTAGGGTGGTAACCCTTTTGGAACATGTAGAACATTAGAAACTAGTTAGTAGAAGTTGATTTATTTATAATAACTACGATTAATATTATGCATATTATTAGATCGCACACTGAGATTTTCAATTCGCAATAAAAAAGTTAAAAATAATATCTTTAAATTTCTGACCTGAATATTATTTTCCGTGTAGAGATTTTCCTTATTTAGTGTTAATTAGCGCTGATCATTATTGTTGCGATGAATATAATCAGATTAAATAATTTAAGAAACCAGAGTCGGACTTATTATTTTAAATTTATAAAAATTAAATAGTTTTGTTGCTGTTAAGGTATCAAAAAAACAAAAAAAAAGTATAAAGTGTGGCATATCATTGTATTCAGGAGACCGAGTTCTTTCAAAACCTGAAATAAAAAATTCAGGTCCGTATTTAAAAAAACAAAGTTGGTCTCTGTATCTCACAAATTATCAGCTAATTTGAAAATCTACAGATACTGCCAAACAACCCTAATAAAGTGGCTATGAGAATGTGCAATTAGTTTTTGATTTTCTAAAAAGTAACGACAGGAAAAAAATGAAAGTGATTTTAAAAAAATCCGTTTTTTCAAAAAACTCAGCAGTCTTTGGAATTTTCAAAACTTTTTTGATGACATCTTGGTAAACATCCTAAGGCGCAACTTTGCCCCAATTTAACCATCTTCGTATCTATTACGGTTTCCGGGATACCAATGCTCGTACCTCGAATTTGTAGCACCCTGTATATAGGCATCCTGTAAATTATCTGTGATTCTAAAATATCAAATTTCTAAGGACATTTTGAATCATATTGAAAGTGATATTGTTACAAATATTAAAAAAAATAAAAGAGGCGTTTATAATATGATTATGCCAAAGTAAAAATTAATTTTTTAATAAGTTAAGAGTTAGTAGTATACATTAGTAGTATATTATAGTAGTAATATTTATTTACTAACATGATGTTACTGTTTTTGGTTTATTATATTTTATAAAAATGTTTAATACTTGGTATTCATTAATAATGCTTATGTCTGCATTATTTTTGAGTTGATATCGGAGATACTCTTAATTAAGATTTTATTTTGAATACTTATTTTTTTAAATGTTTAAGTTTTATTTTTGTTTTTTTTACATGTTTCGCAATTCCTAAATAAACTTTTGTAAAAACAATGGCATTTGTGTGAAATGACACAATTAAAAATTTGACGAAAATTGGAACAAGTTGGTGACGATATATGGGTATAGAGGTGACGATATTTGGAGCAATTGTAGTTTTTTTTAATAGTCGAAAATATCAGTCAAGTTATTAAAATTTTAGTTAAATTTGAAATTAAAATGTCCCCTGATGTCATATTTAATGTTTGTTCCAACCCGCCGCAGAACCGTCACCCAACGATCATGATCGTGCGCAATAATTTAAATGTTTTCCAACCGAGATTTGACGGTTATCGGACGATCCTATTTGCGTACCAACCTACCTTGGGATCGTTTAGTTACGATTTCAGAACTGTAATTTCGGTACATGGTCCAAAATGAGAACTGTTTGGGTTGACTTGCGCATTAAAGCATATTGGCAGAGATTATCGATTTTTAACAGCTGATTCTGGTCTGGCGTCCGGCTGATGCTTCTGTCTTGGTTATTTTTTTACGAATTCGAATACGTGTGCATTATAATTTTGCTTGTGAGTTTGTGTGGAGTAAATCGTTAGAAAATTTTAAATTGTACACTTTCATATTATCTATAGATAATAATTAAGGATGAGTGACGATGGTATGACTGATTTCTTTACCTCCACTTCAGATAGTGACAATTTGGAGTTGCAGCCTAGTGAACGGGTGAAAAATGAACAATATTTAGGTAAGTTTTAATTGTATTTTCTTGTTTCCTCGAGCAACAGCAAAAACCGATCGATACACGCACTCTTGACACTTTTAGAGTCCCGAAACCAATCCACAAAGCGTTCCATCATTGATACTTTTTGCACCGTCACGAAACTATTCGAAGTCCGCGCATGCTAACAAAGTGCAAGAAAACCGATTCGAGTAGGATTTCGAAACGATCCCGAAATGCTGGTTGGAACAAACCTTTAATTTTTTTGTAAGCCTTGTACTAATAATTCGGATTTTGTGGCTAACTGAACTGAGATATTCTCTTAATGTGACGGTAATTGGGACATTTACCATAAGTGATAATTTGTGTAATAAATAATAACATAAGTATATTTTCGAAATAAGGAATTTTTGAAATTGGATAAAAAAACGGTTTCAAAGATGGTTAGCGATAGTTCGGTCCTAAGATTTTAGGACCGGTATCCGGTACCACGAAGAACCGGTCCTCCAGCCAGTATACCGGTTCCAACAATTAGATCCGTGGGACCGGTACGAAACAGGTATACCGATTAGTCCGGACGACCGGTTGGACCGAAATACCCGATGAAATACCGAAATATCGGAAATACCGAAATAACAGTTATGGTTGTTGTGCCAGTGGGCCTATACCGTATTAAAATAATATATAAATGTATCAGACATGTGTTACTTTAATTGGTTACAGATGATTTATTTACGTTCTTCCGTCGTAGCCTTCGAGAAGCCATGACTTTTTAATACGACCATACTGTGCCTGGCTGTAATACTGTTGTGTTAACGAACAACACCTCTTCTGATGGATTGAAAGAGTTAGGATCTTGTTTGTTAATATTTATAAATAAGTAAAGCATTTTCTATAAAATATAACCGTCGGATTTACACTTCAGTCAAAGGATATTTTATTGCGTTACAAAAAATAATGCAAAAAATGTATTTCCCTCTTCGACTTTTGGCGGTTGGTGGCGGTCTCTTTGACTTTGAACTTTGAGTGCGTCGCCGCCGCTCGCCGTGTCGAGCGTACGTCAATGCATTAACAACGAAGTTTTAAAAGTATAAAGTGTTGCCGTTGTTCTACAAACCTATTGTAGAGCTCACTTTGTGGCCCACTTTTATATTTTTTGTTTTAATCGAAAGATTTTAGGAAATAAAAATAAATTAATTATAAATATATAAACAGTTATTATTTACATCAATAAAACTCACCTTAACAGCACTTAAGGGACATAAAGTGTCATTACTACCGCTTTCCCGTTTAAAATATTCTAATAAAGTTGCGAGGAGCTTTTACGGCTATTAAGCTATCTTGTACACTTCGCACTAAAAGAGTTTCTAAAAAGAACAAGTTCGACTGCAAGGTCTGCTAGTAAACGTTTTTAAGTTTAAAGTATCAAAACACTATTTATTTAAACCAAAAACTCGTAATACAAAACTGTGTCAAAACGAATGACAATGTCAGGAAATAAATAAATAAATGCGGCAACTTGACATTTTTTAAAGCAAAGCTACCACCTGAATCGTCAGGGCGAAATTTCTCCAACCGAAAAACGCGAAAATCCCAACCAGCCCAGCGCCGAATATCTCCATGGTTGGTAACAATGAATTTAAAAATCGCGCCCTAGATTACGTTAATTAAAAGTTTAGTTGATAAATATGAAATATATATTATGATTATACCTACAGTATGTCCCCGGATTCTCTTAACAAGAGGAAACACTTTTTTATTATTGATATTATGAGAAAATAAATGCATTTTTCATAAAAAAAATTCTTCTAAAATGGTTAATCCCGTTTATACTTTTCCAAATGTCAATACCGTTTTAGAGAAAATTAAAAAAGAACATGAAAAAATTATTAAAATTTTTCATCATGAAAGTCCTAAATATCAAAAGGCGTTTCTAGGGTATTATATAATTTCGATTTCATTCTTCATTTTCAAATAATGTAGACTTACTCTATCATTTTTATTTCAGAAATATACAACAACATCGGATTGAAATTTATAAGATTAAATGTGCCAAGAGCTGTCAGAACTGGACATTCGGTGACTCTGGGATGCGAATACGATTTGGAAAATGCTCCACTTTATTCGGTTAAGTGGTATCGTGAAAGCGACGAGTTTTATAGATACGTACCTAAAGAAGAACCGCCAACCAGAGTCTTCACACAACAAGGCCTTCATGTCGACGTAAGTACTTTTTAATTTATTTCTTTTTCAAATGTCACAAAAGTATCAATTTTTGCGACGTGATTGACAATATAAAAAGTTTTAACGCCTAGGCATGAAAGTAAAGCACTTTTACACAGCCGAAGTTTCCCCAATACAGTTTGGACCACCCTGTATAACTACTTACAAGGTATTACTTTTAAATATTTTTATATTATTTGCGAGGTTTGAAATTGTATAAAAAACTATTTGAGACGTTTGAAAAAAATAGCGATTTTTATTCGGAGCAAAAATAAGTTTTATTGCTTTGCCTTTATGTCAAACGTACAGCCTCGCCACAAAAAGTATCATTTTTACTCCTAATAAAAAACCAGTATACTATTATTTCAGCAATATACTGTATATTAGTGTAAAAAAGAGAACAGAGCGTAAACAGAGGTGTGTAGTTTGTAAACGAACTAGGTCCCATTAACTACTTTGGTCCCGGAACGAAAGGAACTAGTTCTTGGTTTCTTAAAATACTAGTTTCTTAGGAACTATTCGCTCTGAAGTTCTGATATAGCTTACTGATAAACACACAAAGCACGATTAAAATAACCTGCGGGACCGTGTGTTGTTCGTAAACTATTTTAAACTTTTTAAAAGACCGAATATTTTGAATATTATATGAGTATCTTTTTAGTTTAGGTACCTCGAAATAATAATTTTTTTTATAAAACTAAGTAGATATTCTGATTTTTTGGACAAAAAAAGCAACTCTGGAAGCTCTTTTTTAATTTTATGTTCTTATCTGCAAACTTACAAATTTGTTTATAATATACGAAATTATACGTTTTATCATATTTCGTACATTATAAATATTATACAGATAATACTATGTCGGGAACTAATGTGAACTAAGACCTAATTCAAGGAACTAGACCTCTCTAGAAAGGAACTAAAATTCCCACCTCTATAGTATAATCATATTTCTTCATAAGTTTAGTGACAGTTTTCTCTCTGTTCACAAATACAACGTTCGTCATTAAATTTTAATTATTTAAATGAAAACTATATGAATAATAAAGGTATATTAAGCAAAAATGCTTTATTATTTTGAGACAAAATATAAATAAAATAATAACTATCTCTGCGATATTGTTAACATGTACTCTGTTATAACAAGAAGTATAAATGTCCTTTTCACTTTCATTTTTATTTGAAGAAGATACTAAATGTAGACAATAATGCTGATATACAGGGTGGTCCGATTGTATTCGGAAAACTTTGACAGCCTATTCTGCAAATAAAACTAAGTAAAAAAGTTCTTATAAATTACCAGCCTCTATATAAAATAAAATATATTCAAATAAACTTCGCAATTTATCTTATCATTATACATTGGATTTTTAAACTGATATACGCATTATTTCTTTCATATAGCCATTATTTGGCCCTAAACCCATAAACCCAGGTCGATCGATCGGAGATCTTGTTACATTAATGGGCCGACAAAAGCGATTTGTTTGATTATAGAGCTGAAAATGGTGGGTGCGTTTCAGGTTTCGGTGTCGAATGCCCACAACGTCACCTTGCTTTCAGTAGGCAGGGACATATCTGGCCAGTTCCAATGCGAAGTGTCAGCGGACGCGCCATTGTTTCACACCGAATTGAAGTCGGCTCAGATGACTGTTGCAGGTAAGAATAAAGGATATTGACATGTATAAGATTTATTGAAGTGAAACTTCTTAACGCACGTTTGGCCTTACAATTGCCGTGACACTCGCCCATGAAAGACGCCCGCAAGACGGCCGTGACGCGCGAGCCGTGAGCAAGCTAGCGAGAGGAAAAGTGATAGCGGCAGTATTGCCATAGTTACCCCGTTCGAGGTATATCTACCCCTTTGTAAAAAAAATTTAACTCCGCTATCTCGTAATCTACCCCGATGAAAAATAAGCTTGTGGCAACACTGGGTAACGATCTGTACCATACGCGGCTAAGAGAATCACTATAATAAAATTGATATTGCACCTAACTCAACCTTGTGTGCTAGGAAGTAAATTTTTATGCATATTTTTATCGATAGGTTTTTACCTTCTGAATAACGATCAAGGTAAAGCATCTAGCTCATTTTCCAGCTCAGAACTAGAATTTAGAGTTAGTAACTCACATTTTCATTGGAGGACACTGTCATATTTATTTCAAACCAATAATCAACGAGAATATTCGTATAATTTAATAAAATTACTGCAAATCACTATAAATAATGAATTTTTGTTTGTAATTGAACTGCAATTTCTGTATTATTAATCGGGTAAATGATGAAGAAAAACAATTGTGATTGATTAAAATATTATTTTAAGATGAAACTTTTGTTAACAACATTCTGAGAATCCAAATAATGAATTGAATAATGAGAAGACAATTGACATCTGTCTAAAAGTTACAGCGATTTAGGGTGACAATTTGGTTATATAAAATTTAGAGTGACAATTTTGATGATGCGAGAGAAATATATATTCTATGAGTTTACTGGTTGCCTAACAATTAACATTAATTTAAAAATAAATCTCCAGCGTGAATAATGAACAAAACATTTCAACAAAAACAGGCCATATGTAGTAGTATTTTGGTTTAATGGCCACAGCTGCCAGTCTATCCGGCCGAATGATTATCGTTTATTAATAAAAATTAAAAAAAAACATAAAATTATAAAGCTAAAATAGTATATTGTTTTATATTAACTCTAATTTTATTGAAGTTTATAAAAAGCATTCATAAAAAATATATATCCTTCAAGTCCTTTAATTTAATAGCTGTTATTAAATGGTTTCACTTCAAATATGCCCACATAGTGCACACACAATTTTTTTTGTAAATTTTCGTTAAATTACTTCTGTACTACGCTTATTTGAAAATCCGATTAATTCCGAAAATCCGAGTTATTCACCACTGAAAAGAAATATAAAAAATAAAAAAAGATATTTTTTGTAAACACTACTGTGTAGTATCCAAACGGAAACCATTTTGTTAGTGACAAAAAATTCTTAACATTTAGTATTAAGGCGGTAGCTATTTAGTTTTTCAAAACGCTTTAAAAATAAGCAGGTGAAGAGGTATTTTAAATATTATAATAAGAAAAGCCCTGGTTTCTGATTGGTCATCACAAAAGCGGACGTTTATCGAACTTGAAAATAATTTCCAGCGATTTCTCTTGGCCGATTTACTTATTACAATTTTTTTTCAAAAGCTATACGATAAGTAGTTTCTGAGATACAGTCGGCGTCCATTCTTATTTGGCCACCCGGTACATAAATGCATCTGTTTATAACTGAATTACAAGTTATTCTCACAGAACGACGTGCCGACTTAACTAAACTTTTGCCGTACCGCCTCTTCGAGTGCCTCTCTTAATTTATAAATTCTTTTGTAAACCTTGTTGTTAACCATACCGCATAAAAAAATCTAAAATGGATAGGTCAGGTGTACGAGGAGGCCCATGCAATTGGTCCCAATTTCCTTCCTGTCCCTGAGTTTGCATAATTATGATATAAATAATTTTTTACATTTCTTTCATTACGAAAGTCATGTTGGAGGTTGAAACCACTCTACTGATGCGCTAGTATCTAAATTTAACTTTTATAACATGTCTTGAAAACCGTTCTCTAAAAAACGTAAATAACATTCACCGTCAACGTATCCTTGAAAATGTATGGCCAAGAAAAGTTGAACCAATAATCTTACACGCTTTTCTTCATTTGAAAAATTCATATTTACAATTTTTGTTTATTTTAATTTACAAAGTTTGGATGTGATAGTTTCACATTTCTGAGAGCAACGACAATTGAACTTGTTTTCATGGCTAACTAAGTGAAATTATTTTAAAATGATAAGAACTGGCTATAACTCAGTAATTTTTTGAAAAAAAGATATTATAGCTTATATCGATGAAAAGCTTAAAAATGGCGCTATTTATGAAGTCATGAGCCACTATGTTGCCATTTAAAAAAACATATGTTTGTGTCATATGTCAAAAACGACAGGCTTTAAAAAAAATCGGAGAACACAGACTCATTAAGGGTGTGATAACTTTTATCTGAATACTTTTTGTCTAAAATAGATTATAATGGAATTAGGAACAATTTTTAAAATAGCCGAAATTTTTTTTTCAAAATATCTAGTAAGCCATGAACTTTTTCAAAAATCTGAAAGGCGCATATTTATGGTTCTACAAAACTGCAATTTTTCCCCATTTAACCGACTCTCTATCTCCAGCAGTTTCGAGATACCCATAGTGAACAGCGTAGAAAACTCACCCTGTATATTGCCCCACACTTGAATAAATTTCTAGGCATTTTTTACATAAGTCAATATTACTGCCTATGTTTGTATTTTAAATATTGATTTGAGTAATTGTAATTTGGATTTTTTTTAAATTATATTGAAACACACAAAAAATAACAAAGTGTAATTCAGATCCAACATAATTATGCAGCAGAAAATTCTCGTAGATTCATAATAATAAGTACACCTTACATAAAATGAAATCATACTATAATTTCTTAATCTATGTTTCTTTTAATTAAGAAATTACGAATTCACCCTGTGTGTATGTTACTTTAACTAACATGTTTTTAAAAAAATCTCTACATTCAGCACAAATAACATTTGTCAGCATGTAATATATTTTTTTCGGAATTCCGTAATCCATTTTTTTCCTAACAAATTTAATCAAACTAAAAGCTGTATAATCCCACTACTCGTAATTATCCAGAATGTAGCATAAATGTTTGAGGTCGGCCGCACTACAGAAGGTTGATTTAATGAAATACAAGTTGCGGTTTTTCAGTTTTAGTTTCGAATTTACGGGTGACTTTTGCGGTTTGCCGTTAAATTCGTCTGTTTTAAGCAGAAATTAAATAGTAAAATAGTTGTCGCCGCTGCAGAGTTTCCAGTTGGATATTTTTCGATTGCAAACTTTGCGAATTAAAAGGCTTAGCGGCCAACTTGTTAAAATAACCAAACTATTTATATGCATTATGCTCTAAACCATGTTTATGGGGTTAAAATTAAATTGGATCGCATACTATTTGATGCAAAAAGCATCATTTTTAACCAAAAAAGTTTAATACATCATTTTATATGTTTTTCACAATTATTACTATTCATAATTGTTATTATTATTTTCCACACTCAGATGAAAAAAAAGCAACGGAGAAATTTTTGGTCAAATTTAAAGTGTTATATTTTTGTTATTTTTAGCCCTATTTTTATGAACTTTTTAGCAAGTTCTATATAATATCAATTTTAATTCGTAAACTAATTTTTTTTATAAACTTAGTATTTAGCATATTACACAGGGTTAATCGGGAGGTTATTTTTTTATCTTAACTTTAAAACACAATGCAATAATTTAAGGCTGCATAATATATCATATTGCGTTATGTTTTCCCATTCTTCTTTAAATACCAAGCGAAGTTCTAACTAACTAACAATTAAGCTGGTACTGCTGCGTGACCTCTAACCCTCCTGCCAAGCATTTCCCAAACGTCAAACATGATGGTCAGTTCACAGTAGTATATATATATAGTACAATAATCACCAAAGCCGCCTTGTCATATTGAGACATTTGAAGACATGTATTGACAAAGACATGTCTTCCAAAGAAATGATAATTGAAAAAATTGTAAATGGTTGGTGACAAGTTTATTTCGCTCTTAAAAATTAACCAAGACACGTATTGACATGATCCAGAAAACAAAATGTTCAGGAGACATGGCTCTGGCTGTAAAATTATATTTAAAGAAAATTTTCACACGAAAATATTGCACAGGGTATTTTAAAGTTAGGGTGAAAAACAACCCCTCTATTAACCTTCTATGATATATCAAATACTGAAGTTTATAAAAAAGTTGATATAATTTTTTAACTTAAAAAAATACAGCTTTCTAGAGTATTCCTGGAAATAGGGCTAAAAATAACCATAATAAAATAATAACAACTTAAAAAATTTCACCAAAAATTTCTGCGTTGCGTTTTTTTTGCATTTGAGTGTACTTATGTTCTTTTCTTTCTTCTGTCGCTCTGATATAGTTCCGAAAAATTTAGTACCATTGAAATAGGGACTATTATTGTCTTAAACTTTACGTATTATATACGTATTTTTAAGTTGTTTTTTTTTATTATTTTATTACTACCGTATGATCGAAAAAATATCGGAGTTCATTTGGAAATTAACATCGATAATATAGTCCCCATATAATTTTACATATAAAATGTCAGCGATGTTCATTTCATTGCCATCGCTGACGCCGTTCTTTTCGATTATACGATATTATAATATCACATCGAAAAACGGCTTCATAGACAGATGGAGAGTGATAATCGATAATAATCTTGGCGAGGTCAAGCCCTAGACGTCATTTTCTTGGCCTGTATTCTTTTTTATTGTTTCATGGCGCTTACTGTCAGTTGAGCTTAAGGTTGTTGTTTGTAATCTACTTTTATATCGAGTAAAAATGTTATTTAAATAGTGTAGTTTAAATTTCGAAAAAAAAATATTTTTTTGGAATTAGATTTGTGCCTGGAAACTGTCGATCATTTTTTGATCTTTCTATAGATTAGTGTTAATTTTTTACAAGTTTTATGTATGTTATGTCTGGAGATTGACCTCGCTAAAATTATTATCGATTGTCATT